GGAGACTCAACTTTCTCTGTGTCAAGGAGAAATACGAAGATTGACGATTCATTTTAGGTCAGTAGATGTGACACTATAGGAGGAGTTCCTTGAAGTGTCCTTTTCAGAAACTTTCATTGCTTTGCTTTTAATGGCTGAACATAATGAAATCAAACTCTGTGCCGTACTGTTTTCTTAAAACTATAGCCAACTTTAGCCAGACAGAAAGTACTGTAGCTTATGATATTCATGTAAAATGCATGCCAATATGCAAGTGTGTCCATAAGTGGTGCGCAGCTGCGTATACGCGACCCAAATAAATAAAAAAATGTTCTGGGTAAATAAGTTGTCATTTGCGTACTGATATGGTTGACAGCTGTTAGTGAACAATCACGTTTTTAGATTAACTAACTGTAATACTGTATAAAATTTCCATTCGAACTTATAAATATAGGCTTTGCGCTACCAGTTTCAGCGCAAAATGCAAAACTGTGACATTTCATTCAGTGATGTATTTCACTCGGCTAAAACAGACATCGCATACACTTACTTTCTGGCAACTCGTCAAAATAAAAAAATGTATGTTTGAAAATGTTAAAAATTCATATTTAAAAAAATGTAATGTAAATATTAGCAATTAATTTTTAAAGTGTACTATAAAATAATTATTTTTTTATTTAATACTTTTTATTTTAAAAATATAATGGTATTATCACACTTTATTATATATTTTTTATATTTTTAAAAACTAAATAAAGTGCAATAATACTATTATTACTATTATGATTTATTTCATTTTTTCTACTTCTATTTAATGGGTCACTCTATGTGCAGTATGAGCACCAAACCAAATCTCCAGGTGCTCTTATGAGAACCAGTCCGAAAAAATTGTTCACCCTAACCAATATTTTCACGCGTAATATATCCTTTTTAGCAACAGTCTTGTAACTGATATTTTCAATTAGTAAATTTCTAAACTTATTTGTGAAAGAAAAAAATTACTTTTTAATATATACTATTATACCATGTTATATCTGATTTATCTTCTTTTGGAATCATTTAATTGGTGGCAGCATTGGAGAGCATCTAGAAGTTCTGACACCATATAATTGCTTTCTTGGAGTGAATTTTATTTTAAAATGTATTAATAATGACAATAATAATTTCATTATTTTATAGATTGTGTTGAACAATGATTTTAAGCTGTGTGCTGGTTTTAGTAATAAGCAAAAAAAAAAAAGTTTAATATAAATTAACAAAGGCAAGATATTCTATTTGACCTTGGTTTTCTTGCAGGCATACCTAAGAGTGCCTAAAGTCCAGAAACACTGTTAATGTTGATAAACATAATGCTGAGTGTGGTAGACTATCAATAATGTATCCAATCTATGTAGTTCACTTTAAGATAGACAGATGTTTTAAGGCTGGCTACTTTTTTTTTTTTACTGCAAATATTTGTAAAATAACTTATGCAAATGAATACTTACAGTAATATTATTAATCAAAATATGGCATGTGTATGTTGTTCGAAGTTGTGTAGCCTGTGCTTAAACACAATGAAAAAGAAAATCACAGAAGATTGTTGACTAGGTGGTACTTAGATATTCACATTTGATCAGAAGTAGTTCTTGAAAATGATTTTGATGGTTAAAAAAAGCAGAAATGTGAAGTTTGTATTTTTGATGCATATGCATTTTTTTTATAAAAAGAAAGCGATACCATGTTTACCGTTTTTCACATTTGCTAAGACACTAAACCCCATTCTCTGTACCAAATTCTCAATACCCTAAACCAATGTCAAATAAATCACTCTTTCAGCAAAACTTTAAACAAGTTCAGGCATTTTAGATACTGTTTGCAGATCTTATGCAAAACTCTAAACGCATTCTCACTCATTACAACGCAGCTTGCACGGTGATAAACTTGTGATACAAAACCCTAAACACAAGAAAGCAAAAGTCAAGCACAACTGCAACACAGTTGTCATCGTTTACACACAATAATTCAAAACTGTTCACACTTGTTTCTAAATTTGTGAATGTACAAAATAAAGTTCAAAGTGCACAGATGGCATGGGTGCGTCCATCAATCTGAGAGGTACGGAAGAGTGCGTATACGAGGTGGAGGAAGAGGAGGTCGAGGAAGAGCAAGAACAAGAACAGTCATTTCAGAGCTACTGTGATAGACCATGTTCTTGTGCATGCGATGACAGAGGCAGGACAAAAGAGTTCAACTTAATTTGAGCAGATTCTCTGTGCTGGCCACCATACAAGTTGGAGGAGAAAATTAGTTTTTCACCCTACCCTACCTATCTGAACCGGAGTACACAGACGAAGAGTTAACCACGCGTGACCTTTCCAATGTGGTTAAAAACTATATAGATTTTTTGTTTGTTTGTTTTAAGAAAGTGACATTTCACTAGATAAGACCCTTATTCCTCGGCTGGGATCGTGAAGAGCCCTTTGAAGCTCTCCTGCATTACGTAGTCATGTTGGAAAGGTCATGCGTGACATAGGCGGAAGTACCGACCCAGTGTACAAAGCGAACGTGCAAAGAAAGTCAAATGCCCTTTACAAAAAAGTTAAAACATCGATGTTGGGTGATTTTGAAGTTGGAGGAGAAAATTAGTTTTTCACCCTACCCTACCTATCTGAACCGGAGTACACAGACGAAGAGTTAACCACGCGTGACCTTTCCAATGTGGTTAAAAACTATATAGATTTTTTGTTTGTTTGTTTTAAGAAAGTGACATTTCACTAGATAAGACCCTTATTCCTCGGCTGGGATCGTGAAGAGCCCTTTGAAGCTCCTCTGAAACTGCGATTTGGACCTTCAACCTGTTGGCCACCATTTAAGTCCATTATATATAGAGAAAAATTCTGGAATGTTTTCCTCAAAAACCGTAATTTCTTTGCGACTGAAGACAGAAAGACAAGAACATTTTGGATGACATGGGGGTGAGTAAATTATCAGGACATTTTTATTCTGGAAGTGAACTAATCCTTTAACCGTCAACAATCTTCAAGGCGTTTTATACAAAATGGGGCCTACATTTATTTATTAGGCTATTTCTAAATAATCCATAATAAAAATGACTAGTCAATGTGAGTCCGACATCTTGGGAAGCGATCAGCCATCTTATTCAATACAACTAATGTAATCCGACTATCCTGGTTAGTGAAATCCCGTTTGAAAACAATGTTGAAATATTTATTTCTACGTAAACAGAAGCTTTAATAGCCCAAGTATTTGTTTTGACTTCCTTACAATTGGGGAGGTTAAAACCTCAAAAGTGGGGTGGGTTGGGGGGGGGTCTACTTGACTTCACTCACTTATCCCCCATTTTAAAAATCCTACTTTTCACTTTAAAAACGATAAGGAAAAGTAATGAAAACCATATACCCACTAAGTAGTTTTAATCAGTTGCGATATGCTCCCGACAGCATAACAGAAAATAAATCGACGTTAGCTTGACCGTGCTCGGTGTCCTTCAACGGGACGCTGTTTTCATTCCACCTGCACAGTTTTTAACAGTATGTCGGTGTTCCGGTTTTAGGACGGACCTTTTAGAACGCGCCCCATTCCACTGTGCTTTGTTTTGGGGCAACAATACACACACTCAAGAAGCTTTTAGAACGTTTCAATTCGTTCCATTTATTTATTTTGTTCTTTTTTTTTTTTTTACAAAGCTACACTTTCATTGTAGTCTAGTGCATCTGGGGAAAAGACAGCGACTACATGAAGCAAAGCTGAAATTAAAGCCCCATGTGCCTTTTTATGTCTGGTACATGCCGATAGGACAGACTGTTTTGGGTGAGGCTGCGCGCTAAACATCGCCATGCATGACTGCTGAACGATGTCAACAATATACGCCGATTGAACGATACTCATATTTACCTCATTCCTCCCAAGCGTCCGTAGTGATGAGACAAAATAAGTCAAATCAAATGTGTGAGGAAGTTCTGATCACAGAACTCCCCCTCTGACGTCAAGAGGGCAGATCTAAAACAGTTGGTTTTCCCAGCACACACTGAAGACGTGTGGTGATTTTATGGTTGGCTCATACGCTCATTTTAGTTTTCTTGTGCAATAGTTTTAGTGTTGGCTACTTGCAATAGAATGACACTTTTAATGATATTTTTCATTTCAGTAGGCTATTAGTGTTGTTTTTTTCCGGTTAAAATCTAATTGATCTAAGTGTGTTAATTAAACTTGTAAACTAATAATTTGCTTTTACATTACAATTAAATCATAAACTTTTATCCAAAGTGACAAATTAGAAAAAGAAAAAAAAAATCCCAAAGGAGGCAACAATATGACCAGTGTGACGATAATTTAATAGTAAACCATACAAATGCAAATAAATAGTTATGATAAATGAAGAGGTAGAAAAATGAAGAAAGCGGAAGACATGTTAACAGATATTTGGCGAGCTGTCACTGTTTTTACATATTTGAAGGGATTTGAATCTCAGACGCAATCCTTCAGTCCAATCTGAATTTGTCTGATTTGTCTGTCAAATTTTAAGATTGTACTTCATCTATATTACTTGTGTGGAAAATCGTAGGCCTCACGCAAATGGGTAAACAAAGCAAATAGCTATCAACATATGCCTGCTTAGGCACACATGTTGAGAAAAAGACAACCAGAGTAGAACGGTCACACTTTTCTTAAAAACTTTAAGGAATAATTGTATTATCGTTTACTCTCCCTCATATCGATCCAAACTCCTTAAAGGCACAATATGTAAGATTGTTTTATTAAAATATCCAAAAACCACTAGAACAGTGTTATATATTTTGCTGACTTGTGTACTTACATTATCCCAAATATTTAGAAGAATGTTTCAATCCAGAGAAATAAGCAGTTTTAACTAGTGACACGGACCGTGTCCATAGCATAATTGTGTCGCCTGCTAATGACGTCACAACCCCTCGATTTCTGGTTTTGTTTTGTAGAAAACATGGAAACACCAACGACGCTTTAATATGTTGTGCGTTTTAATTGACTGGTGACGACCGCACAGAGTAGCATTATAACAGAACTTTCAAATGTATCTAGTATGATAAAACATCGCTGCTTTACCCCACATACGCACGACCGGACCAGCGGAAGCGGTCGACTGTGGCATAATAAAAGCTCTGCTGCTTTCGAGCCGTGTGTCGTGCTCGTTCAGCGGCCTCGTTTCGCTTCGACGCCTCACCCTGCTTCATTCTACTAGTTAATAAATCATTAGCTCATCCATGAACATGATTTCTGCCCGAGTCCCGTCGGATTGCATCGGCTGTGGGGATGAAGACCACAACTCCCATGATTCCACACTCAGTCACCAAGCTAGGCCTTTGCCTCTTGTTTATTTTGAATACATGCCCTCTAGCAGTGAAAATGACATATTGTGCCTTTAAGTCTTCTTTCATCTGTTACTCAAAAAGTGGAAATTTAGAAGAATGTTTACACTGAGCTGTTAAACTTTTTTTTTTTTAATTTACACAAAAGCATAATGAATTTCATAATTCATAAATCAATAAACCTCATGCACTATAGCCTATTCCAAGTCTAAAATTTAAGATTTTTTTTTATTATTGACTTCAATTGTAAGGGTATTTTGGAAGCAAGAAAGTAATAAGGCCTGAGATTCAAAGGAGATGAAGGAGAGTAAATGAAAGAATTTTCATTTTTAGTTGATTTTTTTCCTTACAATACAAATGGAATTCTATTCATTCAGACAGAAATTCTGAACAAGAAAAAATGACTCTTTATGACACCTACCCTGGATTGTGTAAGACTAAGGTCTGTAATGCATGAATTTTACATTTGTTTGAAGGGATTAACTTCCTTCGTTCTTCCTCCCTTTTAATTCAGCTTACCTCACTTGGGTCTTGTCTTAACATAAATATTTGGTAATACTTGAGCCAAACTGTTTTGTCAGCTCAGTGCCATCCTGTTTTTTTGGTTTGATTTTATGACATAAATCATCTGAGAGGTGTGGTGAAAACTCAGCGTTCTCCCCAAATAAATGTGGAGCACCATTTACATCTTCAGGGGATTTCTGCTGAGCTTACACTTGTTTACAGTATTTAAATGAAGCTTACAGTCACATATTTCTCTTTTTGAGTCTTGTCACTTTAACAGCACTTTATATTGGAACTACTTTTATGACTTTTCAGTTTTTTAGGACTAGTCAGTAATTTACAGCCAGATATAAGGCCTGGTCTGAAGAAGGAGAGCTGCTGTGCCCTGCCATGAATCAACATCAAGGAGTTCTGGATAAAACAAGAGAAGGTTTGGAAATGAATAAATATTGTAATTTTAATTAATCTTCAATAATTGGTCCAACGACAGACTGAATGCTACCTTTTTAGCCTGTCACAAGAGAGAAAAAAAATCATTCTTAAATACAGTGAATTGAAAATATGATGTTTTTCAGTTTTGAAAGAAATTGAACCGGAGAGTGTTTTTCAAGAGTAGATGAATGGAGAACAAGAAAGCTGAAGAAACATTATAAAATAGAGAGTCCCGTGAATTTGTTTTGTTCCTCAGGGACAAGATTGGAACATTTTATTTGCACATCTTATTTGCCTCTCAAATATATTTATTCCAATACCTCAATGTGGACAACCTTAAAGGGATATTTTAGGCAAAGAAAAATTATAATTTGAATGCCATATCTGTGTTTTGTTTTTGTTGTGTTTTGTTTTTTTACAATGACAGTTTTGAAATAACATGAGGGTGAGTAAAGTATGATTTTCATTTTGGGCTGCACTGTCCTTTTGAGGCTCCACGCATATGCAAACACATTTTTAGTTCCTCTCACTTGCAGTCTATCCTGCCCTATTGTACAGTGATCAATTGAATAAATGATCTCTCTTGAAATATCAGTTTCAAACTCAGGTATGCACACATGCACTTTAATCTGCGTATAAATGTTACATTCTTATTTTAGTTCTTATTTTTTAGTTTCTTTCTTTTTAGTTCTTATTTAACACTTTTTAGTCTAATTAATTGAATTAATATGAGCAGGATTTTATTTTATTTATTTTTTGCTGTGTAAAGCTGAAATAATAATAAAGCCACTCTGACAAAATCATACATCAACTTCTAATAAGGCGAATAGCTTCTGTTTTCTCACACTTCCCCCAAATTTCTGTTCTGGGATTTTTATTTTTTTTTATTAATGCAAAGGTATCAAAAATATAAGTACAGAAAATATAAAAAGTACAAAGAAGTGACATTACAAGCAAAACACCATTTATATAATACAAAATAAATAATAAATAAATATAATATATATATAATAAATATAATATAATAAATAATACAAAATGAAAGCTTTAACCAAATTAATTAAAAAGGTTAAATAAGTTAACTTTTAAGAGCTTTAAGATTCTTGGAAGATGAAATAGTCTGGATATACTGTTGAACCTCTTTTTTTTTTAATAATAAATAAAGGATTTTGATAAGTGAATTTAATGCGGTGAATTTGAAAATTTTGCAAGAAGTAATAATAGGTTAATAATGAAGTATTCATTAATTTAATATTTTTGTATATTAAAGAAGCTCAACAGTACATCCTTAAAAAACAAAGAGAAACCCGGGAGAACATTGCGATTAATAACATTACAAAAAATCAATTCAAAATAGCTGTGTATGAGGACAATCCCAGAAGGGGCACCACAAAAAGAACAGCTTGTATCTATGTCTGATTTAAACCTTTTCATACACACTTCAGCTGGGTAAATTCTGTGTAACAATTTGAATGAATTTTCTCTAACCTTGTTGGTCATTATGTATTTCAAAGGCAGAGTCCATACTTTTTTCCAATCAATATGATCAACCGAATTCTTCCAATAAGACCCCACATATGGAGTTGTTACAAGCTCCTTTTGAAAGTGAGATCTAATTTTATAGTTACGTGATAAAGGATGTGACAAAAAGCATAGTTTTCCTACCGGGATTTCAAATGGGTCTAAAGAAATAGGTAAAGTGCTGGATGATCTAACAGACTCCCTTAAAAGCATAACAACTCCTTTAGGAACAGCGATTTTACTGGAAAATCTAATTTACATAAAAATTCCTTATAACATAAAATAAGACATTCTGAGCTAAATAACTGGGAAACAATCAAAATGTTTTTCTCAAACCAATTACTAAAAAAACTAATATTTATTCTTATATACAATATATTGATTGTTCCAAATGAAGTACCAGTGAGGGGAAAAGTTGTGCTTAAAGATTAATGACCATGCAAGTAATAACTGCTTATGGAATTTAGATCAATTAAGGGATTCTAAAAATATTATAATTAGAGGTCAATAGGAAAGGGAGACCACCTATTTTGGAAAAGAAGAAATGAGGGATAAAATTCCAGATTGAGTTTGGATTACACATAGAATGCCTAATCCAATTAATTTTGAAAGTGTTGCTCAAAGAAGCGAAATCAAGAAAATTCAACCCACCATACTCATATGTGTTCAATATTACAGATTTCTTAATATAATGGATTTTGTTCTTCCAAACAAAATTAAACAGGATTTTGTTGACTGATTTACAAATTTTGTTGTCCACATATAGAGAGAATGCAGCATATGTAAACCTGGAGATGCCCTCCGCCTTAGCAAGCAGTACTCTGCCTCTCAAAGTCAAGTCTCTCTGCAACCATGCGTTAAATCTTCTTTGGGCTTTTATTATAACAGGGTCAAAGTTCAAGGTACATCTCTTATCTTGATTTTTAGTAATCACAATGCCTAAATATAATTTCAGATTTAACTGGAATATTATAAATAGTGGGTGCAGTACAATCTTTAATAGACATTAATTCACATTTACTTATGATTAAGACCTGAAGCTTCAGAGAAAAGTTTTATATAATTTATGCTATAAATTATATTATATGATTTGGGAAACATCTCTTAATAATAAGGTGGTGTCATCTGCTAATTGACTAATAATTATTTCTCGATCCGCTATACAGATACCCTGAATACCGCTTTCACAAACAA